GCTTACATAAATGTCCTGTGTGTGGAGAAACTCAGTGGCGAAACGTAAAAGAAAAAATTGTCCTTTTTTTTTTTTTTGACAGAGGAAATGAGGCTCTGATTTGTGTGAAACTGCATATGCGCAAAAATACTGGTATGAACCTGGCAACGGATGCCGTTAATGTTTTCAAGCCCAATAAAAGCTTCAGTCTCCTAACACTCCAGCCAGGGCTGGAGAGAGAGCGACAGAAGTGCCTTAACCCATCAGTGCTCTTGTTCCATTAAAATGCGTAGCTTTTTTTATTTTCACAACTAAAAGCTGATGCAAAAGGTTTTCACATTTTTAAATGCCTAATTGCAAAGAATTGTTAAAAATGTTTTAGGATGTCAACATGTTAGCGCTCTGGTGCACAGATATTGGGAGCAGGTTAACTATTTAAATGGCTGGGGTAAACAAGATATACCTGGAAGTAACAGGCTGCTTCAGCAACTCAGGTGCATGCAGCCGCATAAGAAAGCCCTCTGTTAGTGAAAGGGAGATCAAAAAAGGCTCGGTTTTTTCTAATTTAGCTGTTAGGACAGGCATGTTTTAGGGCCAGAAGTAAACATATAGTCTTGTACCATACATATTACCCATAGTTTACCCAGAACTTCCTGTATCAGGCCAGAATCTGTTGAAAGTACAATAGGTTTTTTAGAAAGACATTGACTTTAAACAATTAGTTTAATAGAAATACTTATTTTCTGAGGAGTTTGATTTTTTTTCTAAATCTTTGTAAATCTCCATATGGCTGATCTCCCCTTCAGAATGATTTTCTTTCATGTGGAATGCTGTGCACTTATACTGAGCAGAATTCACCTTTAACATAGCGTGGAAATAAAGTAATCTGAGTAAGCCTGATTTTTTTAAGGATTTATTTTCATGTAGAGTGCAAAATATGGTACAATACTGTCTGTAAATATAGGCATTAAATAACTATGATACTTAACTTCCCACAATTCAGCAGCAAGGCTGAAGAGCCTTCTCAGTACGTTGCAGCAGGTCAAAGGAACTACTTCAGCCGCATTCTTCCACTGCCATTTGTGTGATTGCCCATTGCCTCTACCATCGGAATGATGAAACGGTATTTCACATAATTTTGCTCCTTTGGCAGTTCTTCACAGCCAACTTTGTGAAGCTGCAATGATCCATTTGAACTCCACTTGAAGCATCTGATGTGTCAAAGAATGGGTATGTGCCATAAGTTTTGGCCTCATTTTATGTGAAGAATTGATGAATTTCATTTCAGGAATGTTAATCAGCCCATTTGAGCTCAGGTATGAACTTCTTGCATAACTGCCTTTTATAGGGGGAATGAATTCATATGAATGACCCTTGCCTATCCGTCCTCAGTTCTGTAGTATTTTTTTTTTCGCTGCAGTCCTGCTCATGGCTTATTCCACTGAGAGGATTCCATAATCTAGATTATGGCCGAAGGCAAGACCTACATAAGCATATGGTGCACGTTGCATTATCTGAAGTCATGAGGGTGTGATTAATGGGCTTAGAGTTTTAATTTGGCCTGTTTTACATCTCTCCTAAGACAGGTTGCAAAGCCTGACAAGTGACTGCCGGATGCACACAAAAAGTGCTGAGGTGGCAATAATTTCCTTAAACAAAGTGCTGGAACTAGTGCCTCTAGTGAGAGGAATGGGGTGTTTGCGCAGCTAACAGAGGTAAACCTCTAGTGAGAGGAATGGGGTGTTTGCCTCTGACTGGCCATCATATTTTAGATCATATTTTTTCAGACTGAGCCATGTTGGAGAGAGCAGGTGATCTAATAAATGGGTTGCATCAAATGATAAAAATTCCCCTGGAGGTGGAGCTCAGCCTAATGGAACAGTATAAATGCTGCGGGTTTGCTCCCTGTAGGAGGGAGCTACTCCTGGCATACTTCCTATAATGGGTTTCATTGGATGTGCAAGGACTAACAAAGGAGAACGGATGAGTTAAGACTGTGGGATGGTATCCTCCCTGTATTGTCAGTACTGTTTAGCCAGAAGACTGATCCGCCTTATGAACTTATCTTCTTGAAACTGAAGGTTGTACCTCCATCAAATTTAATTCATAAAATTGTTAGTTAACCTAATACATGGATATCCAGGAAAAATGTGGTAGGAAACTGTCCTGCACGAATAGCAGGATGCGCTGGCTGTCCTGAGAGCTCTCTCTGCTAGAGAGATGGGGCTGTGTCTACGTTACCAAACTGTTTGGCACAGTAGGAGTGGATGAGCAGATCAAAGCAGCTGGTGCAGAGGCTTCTATATCAATATTACAGTGTATTCAAACTGAGCATTTTATTCCAAATTGAGATTTAGTCTGGTCCAAATGTCTCCACCACTCACGCAGTTTGAATCTGTCCAAGGGGCCTCTTGTTTCAGATCCTTAAATCCCTGTTAAGGGCAGCAAAGCATTTGATGCATCCCTGGAGCAGAATTTCCCATATAGTTTCTCTGAAAGGAATCTAGTTCAGGCACAGCACAGCCGCCTCGTGAACCAAGCCAGCTTGCAGCAGGAGGGGATGACTGGGGGATTTACTGTAAGACCGTGCTGCTGCTGATCCACACGCTCATGTAGACACAGCCAAGGTGATCCCAGTCACGGGTTTAGGGGGTAGGGGCTTCCTTTGCTGTGGGCCACTGCATCTCCAACTCCACCATCTGTTTTAAGTGGATGATTTGAGCTCTCTCTGGATGAACGTGGTTTTATTTCAGCTGAATACTCCCACTGTAATTCCTAACTAGGGTTCTAGTAAATGTTGTGCCTGTTACAATGGAAGATGGGTGACCCTGCACCGTGTTCATCTTTCACATCATCCTCTTCGCTATTTTTGTAACAAAAGACACACTTCATTTACAACATAATTTTGAATGTAATGCCTTGAGTTTCACAAGGTATAGGATGTGCTTGTTAAGATATCAGCTTGCTGTTGGCCATGTTACCTTGATGATGTTTTAACTGCAATAGAAAGATTTGTATTTACTTGTAGTAACTCATCTTGAAAGAAAAAAAGGTAAAGCTTCAGTTTCTAGCCAGCTTACTTAAGGTAGCGAAATTAGCTGTAGACATACAGAAATTGTATCTATTTTATCCATGGGGCGATGCTCAAACAAACTAAATTAGAAGCTCTGTTTATGGACTGATAGTCAGAATTCTTAAGTTTTTATTTATCTTGGAAAGATCTAATGGTTTGTTTTTAGTAATAACAATTCTGCTAATTTTTATGTTAGGCAGCCAAATGTTGTTGGCTTAGATATCTGTGTCCTCAGAACTGCTGTTTTTAATTTTTGGATTTGGAACAGCAACAGTATCCTATGTTAAATGCAAAACTTTTCTCAGCAGGTTGAGACAAAAAAGAAAGCGATTGTATCACAGAATATATGCACTGAACAGCTGAGATTTTTGATTCCATGGTTACAACAACAAAGCCAAAAAAACATGCATATAGCCAGTTTGTGATTTTATTGTTCAAGTTGGAGGGCCTTTCATAAAATGAGCTTTAATGGACAAGAAAGAAAGAATGTATTGCTGTACTTGTGCAACTGAAGTTTATGAAACAGGATTGGAAAAATACACAGAATAATTGGGCACATCCTGTACTTAGTGAATCACCAAGCTAGCGCAATAAACATTGCTGCATTCAGGAGTTCAAATCTATATTCTGCCCAGAACACTGGGAACTGCTGAGGATCATGGATGATCTGCAACACGGGCTACCTGAACTGTACTCTCTGGAAGGATTTTCTTCTTTGTGTGTTTCATGTTTTGAGGCAATTTTTGGTTTCACGGCATGGCCGTTAGTCCAGTTCTGTGACACCTTGCATCTGCTTAAATCAACTCAGGGGAACCTAGGAAACAAAATAGCGGCTGTAGCAGAACTTGTGTGTACATTGTTATGATAAAGAAAAAAGGTTCCTGAACAGCCCAGTTTGCATTCTCAACACAGCTTGCAGTCTTTTGTCTTCACAAGTGAAGACAAAAGCCACAAACATTTGAGAGCTTCAACATTGTTTGCCAGATAAGAGGCATAAACTTGTGAAAATGTTGAAGAAATGACTGAATTTCCAGAAAACAGGCTGTTATTTAAGGGGGATGAAAACCGTTATGAAGCCAGAAACAAACACAACGTCAAAATGTGCTCTCAAATACACACGTGGCTCTTGCAAAGTCGGAGTGAGCTGCACATGCACAGACTTAATGGGATGCTGATGGAAAACATCCAGGGCTGGAATCTGGCTTCTTGTGAAACCAGGACTGCTGTCTGGCTATGACTGACGTTTGGGTCTCGGGCAAACTGATAGAGATATTTTCTTCCCTCAAGGAAATATGCATTAGTAGCCAGCCAGAAAGACAGGATGGCTTATGTGCAAGGCTTCTGGAGTGTTGTTTAGAGTTAGCTCTGGGCTGCTTCCATTTTCTTTACTTCCCCAAAACATGATAGTCCTTTTAAGGAGAAACTTTTAGTGCTTTCCCCAGTGGCAGGGAGAGCATACCACGTGTGCACCGAAGGCTGTGCTCCTGTTCTTTCACACAGCGAGAAGCGTCTTCCAGGAAATGCAAATACCTGTTATGTATTCCTGGTACAATCGAACTGAATGGCAGAATTCATATTTTTGATTAAAGCAAACACTAGTTTCCTCAAGTGTCTGCAAACAGAGTGCGATAAGTCCCCAAAGGGTCTTTTGCGGTTCCACTTCATCTAGGGAACGAGAGCCAAGAATGTGAGAATAGATTGCAAAGTTTTAACCAGCCCTTTGCTGGGAAACTTGCAGAGAAGTGTTCCAGTTCAGAGCAGCAGAGCAAACCAAAAGAATTGGTGTCAGTGAAATTTCTGTATTAACAGAGTTTCTGGAGGTTGAACATGGAACGTGTTGCCTTTTTTTTTTTTTTTGAAGATGCCTCCTCTCGTGGGCAAAAAGAGACATGGATTCAACGAGAAGAAAATGCGTGCTGGTCTTCTCGCCCTCACATATAAAGCAGTAATAGTTCAGGACGTTCCATGCGAGGTGAAATAAATTTTCTGCGCTCCTTAATTCAACACAAATGCAGCAGCAGTGGCCGTACAGTAAGTGATTCATTCTATGGCGATCTTTTCAATGATAAAACTATTATGTGCTGCATCTCCCGTTCAAGCGTTTTGTTTTGTCATTCCCTACTCCTGATTCCCAGAAACATGAATAATGAGGCTTTTAGCAGAGAGGTGGAACTGTTCCCTGAGACTCACGGCCAGAGCAGGACATGCTGTAAGTGGAGTGCTGTGAATCATATTAGGGATATGGGGGCATAATTGGCTTGAACTTCTGCTCAACCCTTCAAATTATATCCAAAGTTTGTTTTTTATCGAGTTCAGGTAAGGTGCCTCCCTCTATTTGACTCCCATCAGAGCTTCCTCTTTCTGAGGAATTTCTGGTCGTGTCTCTTTCCTTCTGCTCAGGATCTCAGGTAGGAATGGCAGCTTGTTGTGGATGGAAGAGTTGAACCCTGGCCTACAAAATCTAGCAAGTTCAGACTATAAGGAAAGGCAGTGTACTACCCCCAAAACAGCTGCCTTTCCCACATCGAGTGGATTTGTACCAGGCAACTGCATGAATCAGATCTTGATCTTCATTACTATAAAATACAGTAAGGAAAATCACATTTCTGAGTGTTGCTACTGTACCCACATCCAAACGTACAGCACTGCTCTGTGCACAGCAAATGGGGCTCGTATGTATTTTATTAATGTAAGTGTAATGTAATTATTTTCTTGTCCATCTGGCAGGTGGTGTTTTCATTAAGAAGTGAATAATCTAAGCTATAGGCTCTGTAGAGGGGGATGAGTATGGAGGAGATTCAGGTCATCTGCTGTGGGACCATAAATAGAAACTAGCAAGGGAGTCCTTTCTGACCTTGCCTACAAAACCTGCAAATCTGTTGCTTTTATTTTTCCTTTAGCAGACTGCTCACAAGCTTAGAAGCTAGTCTATTAATGAAATCTTTTCACCATCATACAGTTTAACTCCTCATTTATGGTGGTGGCGGGAGGCACAGTGTGAAAAAAGAGGTGTTACGTAAGAGAACAAAAATTAAGTCCTTATATAAACCACTGTGCATAGGAAGATAAGATTAAAATCGCATTTCCGGAGGTGCCCAGTACATCTCTGGGTGTAAAGTACTGTTTGAAGAAGAAACACAGATTACTTAAGGGTTTCATGTAGAAAACCTTGATTCAAACAAACAAACAAACAAACCAACCAACAGACAAAAAAACAGAAAAAGACCACCAATCCTGAACTGTCTCCTAGAAAGTTTTCACAAGTGTGGTGAGTGGAATTCGTATTTTCTAAATAAAATCTGATTGCTCTCTGACCTTCTGTGTGGCCTCTTCTGTTTCCGGACAGTTTTCTGATGTCCACATGGAAATGAGAGAGCAATTTCCTCTTTCCATGTCCTAGCAATACTTTTCTTGGCACAAATGATAGTACAAGGCCTAGTTTGAGTTGTGCCCTGGAAAGATATAAATATCCTGGCCCAGCCCCAGGAAAGTTCAAGCAAGGATTAGGTTTTATATTTTATCTGGTAGCATTCAGGGAAACCTATCGGGATGACCAGGCTGGGAGGAGTGTTCATTTAGCAAAGCCTGTAAGTCAAGAAGAAAACTGAGCTTTTTAAATTCTATCATTTTAAATTTAGTAGGGGATGTTGAAATGTCACTGTGCCTCGTTTCGTCGTGTGTGGTGCAGGTACTGACAGGCAGAAGGTTAGAGATTGTGACGCTCTTTTGTAAAGGAACAGCTTTTCATTCAGACAGCTTTGTTATTTCCCAGAGGAGCCTACTTATTTTTCTTTCCGGAAAAGCTCGGGTCAACTGACCTGCTGGTTGAGCTCCTCTTCAGCTGGGGGCTTCCACGCTGCCACATGCCTGCTCTTTCTGACTTCTAACAAAACACCGATGAGGATGCTCACCCTGGCAGACCAGCACTGCAGATAACAGGGAGCTGAAACCAAACCTGAGCAATAAGCCCCTTGGAAACAGCTTTGGAGGCTGTTGGGTGCCAAACAATTTAGCACCGTCTGGGAGTGCTGGTGTAACTCCTTCTCGTTTAGGATGCTGCTGAGCTTCTTTCTTTTGTAGGTCCTGTGAATATTTGAGAGGAGATATTTAACTGCTGCATGAGTTACTTAGTGCAAGGAGCAATGGGAGCAGGAATAGTAAATAAAGCATCCTAGGCAAATCATGAGCTGGAGCTTTGCAAGGCTGCAATAAAGCTTGCTTGAGCCTTTGCCAGACGTGTGGCTTCCTCTCTATTAGGGATGTTATTTATCCCTGAGACTTCATGAGGTGTTATCTGAAAAGGCTCTCTGTGCGGCTCAGTCTTTACCCTAAGCCTTCTTTGGTAGACTCTGCTTCGGGAGGGTCTCCAGTTTTTGTGAGAGTCGGTGCTCTAAATGTTTACTAGTTGTATTGTTTCAAACGAGAATCAGCCTGTCTGAATGTATCAAGCCTCAGTCATTGCTATGTATGTGTGAAGGTCAGTGGGCTTGTCAGATACCCTATTGTAAATCCTGTCACTGAATCAATTTCTTTTAATTAAATAAATGTTCTGTTCTTCAGAAGCAGTGCAGACTTTCATGTAGATGCAATCCGTTATAGCCCAACGCAAATGCAATAGCTGTGAGCTCTCTGCTGTTCTTGGGGTCTCAGCTGGTAAGTTTGTGTTTGTAAAATCTTGCTGGTCAAAGGGGCTACATTTTCTGTGCTGGGAAGGCAGTGGTTACTGTTATTACTCTGGCATCATCTAATTGCTTGCAAAAACAGAAGCAGAAAAAGCCAATGGAAGAAAACAGGTATCCAAGCCAACAGGTAAGAGACACAGAAACCCTCTCCTCGCTCTCCCTGCAGCGCTCGGCCCCAGCAGTACACAGCAGTCTGGCACAAAGGCTAAGAGCAAGACAGGATTTCTCATTCATTTAGTAATTCCCTTGGGGTTATACTCTTAGATGACTTAATGACTTAGTGAGTACCCCGTCTGGAAGATAAGCAGGCATAATTCATTGCAGGCAGGTCATTCATCCTTTTAGATAACCAGCGACTACGCGCCATAGGGAGCAGGCAGATAAAGATACTATACATCAGCAGCAGTAGTTCAAGGTTTCAACCTCTCCGCCTCCTTCTGTGACCCAGAAGTCATTTGCAGTTGATTATTCAGCCATTTGCTTTCTTTAGAGAGAAATACTCTGGCAGCAGTTGGTAGGAGCGAATACATTTTCCATTTTGTCCGTACCTCTCAGCGCAGCCTCAGCGTTATCTCTACCTGGATGCATGCGTCCCCGCGTAGCTCAACGAAAATTCAGGACTATGTTAAATGCTGCTTTTGAGAAGTTACTGTAAGTTGAGTCCCGTTCTTCGGATGTTATTTAAATGGTGGCAATTGTTCATCTACTGCTTGCAGTCCAGAAAGGAGGAGAAAGTGGGAGATGTAACGCTGGTAAATGTCCAAAGTCTGTGTTTACAGCAGTGTACAGCCGTGCTCCCTCTTGCACAGGCATGCACATTGTAAATTTTTGGTTTCAGTCTAGGAGCCTGATTGTTGTGTTAGCAATATACATGTTCCAAACTGAGGCGCAAAGAGAGAAAGAGCGTATATGTTACACGGTATATTTTACTACTGATAGCATTTTTTATCTTCTTGTAAAGATAAGATTACTTTCAGTGTCAGCATTCACATTTTAAAATTGAACAAGTTGCACAAAGACTCGCTGCTCTTAAGTCGACAGGTATTAAGATCAAACGAATTACATGCTCCCTCTCTAGTTATGTTCCCTCCTCTGAAAATCTGCGGTTCATAAACAGAAATCAACACCTTAAGATACCCTGCACTGAAAAGATCAGTGATTGGCTCGGCAGGTATTTTATGATGACTAACTCGCAGTGAAACATTTTTCTCTTGTCTACAGGCAAAACAAAAGAAATAGCAAATACAAGGCTTTTGATACGGATTTCTGATGGCCGCGGTGTGATTCACAGTGTGTGCTGTTGCTTTATTTGAGGAGGAAGGGAGGGAGAGAAGGGGTCTGTTTTTGTTTGTTTCCTAATTACTTGAGCTATTTTTTCTTTGACTCAGCAACTCTGAACAGTACATACTGTACTACTGTAACTGGCAGTCAGGACTGGGAAGTCAAATGATGGCAATGATAAAAAAGTAAATATCCTGTGTTCTCTGAAGGGATCAGGAGGAGATGGAGAATTAGTCTTGTTACGGTTTTGTTTGGTATCACAGTCCCTTTCTGCATCAATGCTGCTCTGTAATCTTTAGGTCTGTGTTTCTCAAGTGAAGTCCTAAAAGCAAATACGAAATCAGAATAGTTTTATTTCCACATAATGCTTTCCATTTCCAAAACTCATCTGTTTAGATGAAGGAAACATTTACCTTGCACAAGTAGCCATGCTGCACGGAAGTTAAAGGAATTTGTTGTCTTCAGTAGCGCTTACGGCTTAGTTGGAGAGTGTCTTAAGAAAGGTGTGAAGTATGGATGTTACATGGTTGATATAAAATAATACTTCATACATTATCATGTTTTTCTGTCAGTGTGCGTGTTACACCTGAAGCAATGTAGTGTTCGTGGCGCTCTAGCTTGGTCCTCTCATCGAAAACAGGTTGAATTCTAACTTCCAAGGTGACTCCTTGTGACTTTTAAAGGTGTTAAGTTGCATTTGTGTTATCGCATAAAGCAGCATTGTCAAGCCTGTAACAATTGCAGGGGCTACTGCCTCTGACGTGCAGGATCCCAGGAAGAGTTTGCAGCCTGTTGGCTGCTCTGTGCCTGAAGGGAGGCTCACTCATGTGCTTGTCATCTCTGTACTCTGCACCAATCTGCTGCATTAGTGCAAGACATTCACATGTCAGGATATGTTTACTACGAGTCTTTCTGCTCCTTGGGGAAAGAACCTCGCTTTGCTGAGAGTCATTCACTAGAGTTAGTTGAGTGGGAGCTTAAAGCAGGGCACCCCGGTGGAAAAGTCGGTGTCAGCGGTCACTGGGAAGGGACTCCGGAGACCTTCTTTTTGGAAATGCGTGGTCCCTG